AATAACGAGAGAGGAGTGGTAAGGACCTCTATCGAAATGAAAGAAAACCACATTTTTACATCAAAAGAATCCCTTTTTTAGGCTGGAAGCTGTGACACTTTGAACAGCAATTTCAATGGGGTTTGTAATTCCTTCACCAAACACGTGTGTTTCTTCGTAGCGTTAACTTTCTCTTGGACTTCGATTTTACAGGATGTGCAAAAGTGTCGGCTTTGGTATGAAAACAATGGTCTACTGCTACAAGTGTTCTTTGAAACACTAAAATACGAATTGTATGTTGAAAAGCCGAGTTATGGGGTAAGATTAAGGTTCTTTCTTCTCTCAAAAACTTCAGACAAAACAAAATTGTGTTTTCCCAATTCTATCCTTTCTACCCAAATTCTTTTTCTCAACGATGAAAGTTCAGATCTCCGCTGCACTGAATGATCTTGGAGGACACGCTGGTCTTTGGCTGGGATTATCTGTGATTTCTATAGTGGAGGTAAATAGTTGCAATCATTTTTCACAGCAATCTTTAATGCGTACAGGTATGCGGGCTAATTATTCTACTCGTAATGTATTGTGTAACATGCGGAGGTCTCAAAACCCGTCCTGATGACGATGACTTCGCAGCCGATGAGCGTATTCAGGTAGTTAGACTACAAGAAAACTATGTTACATTTATAATTTACTTCAACATATCTCAAAGAGTTTAGGATGTAGAGGAAGTGAAAAAAGAACTGGACATAGCTGATGAGAATGAGAAAGATCTCGACTTATCAGATGAGGAAGATGAGCCAACTCCAAACAAAGAAGAAAATGCAAAGGAGAAATGAATAACCGCTTGATTATATCTAAATCATTATTTCTTTTATGTTTGCAAAGTTTGTAATCACACTAAATAAAATTTGTGCTGATTTTATCTCGCTCCTTTGCAAAACGCATGCTATCTAATTTTTTGCTGAGTCGGATGGCTATAATTAAAAGCTAAAGACCTTCTTTAAACTCGATCGGATGTCGATGAATCTTGGCATATTCGTTTCCAGTTGTTAGTAGCCGCTAGAATGCCTTTTTATTACGAGAGAGTTTGAAGCCGAAGGTTAATTTGACAACAGTCCGACATTGTTCTTAGATTTAGTCTAAGTCTTAGATACTCAGATACTTAGATACTTAGTTGGCCTGTCTTTACTCGTCGTGCAGACCACAGCACTGTTTCT